CTTCCGCTCCGGGGGGGCGATGATCTGCAGAGACACCAACCCTTAGGATGCACCCTCTGATCCTTCCCCCCAAACCTGCACCAGGAGAGGATTTGGGGTGTTGGTAGCCATGGTTTGGTCCCCCCAAGACCTACTTTGATCTTCATGGTGCTGGGAGCCAGCGCCGTGATTTCCTTCTGCATGCGGTCGGCGATGCCAGGGTACATGGTGGTGCCGCCGGACAGGACGTTGTTGGCGTAGAGGTCCTTGCGGATGTCGATGTCACACTTCATGATGGAGTTGTAGGTGGTCTCATGGATGCCAGCTGACTCCATGCCTGGAGTGGAATGGGCCTGTCAGCACCCTGACCCCCACCCACACCTCCTCAGGGCTCCCCAGAAGAGCCACAGGGTCACCTATGGGTTTGTCCCACCATTTGGGGTGCAAAGTGCTCGAGGGAATCCCAGAACAGCTCTGCTGGGCACCACCCATGGGAGCTGGGTGCCTGCTGGTGGGGTGGTGGGGATGGGACAACCCCCCAGGGGCAGGGCAGGAGAACTCGGGGTGGGCTCACCAATGAAGGAAGGTTGGAAGAGAGTCTCAGGGCAGCGGAAACGCTCGTTTCCGATGGTGATGACCTGCCCATCGGGGAGCTCATAGCTCTTCTCCAGAGAGGAGGAGGAGGCAGCCGTGGCCATCTCGTTCTCAAAGTCAAGGGCCACGTAGCAGAGCTTCTCCTTGATGTCACGCACGATTTCCCGCTCGGCTGTGGGAGACGATGGCAAAGAGGCTCAACCAGGTGCTGCAGCAGCACCACGGGGTCCCCATCACCCTGTACCCCCTCCCTGGCCCCGTACCCGTGGTGACAAAGGAGTAGCCCCTCTCGGTGAGGATCTTCATGAGGTAGTCAGTGAGGTCACGGCCAGCCAAGTCGAGACGCATGATGGCGTGGGGCAGAGCGTAGCCCTCGTAGATGGGCACGTTGTGGGTGACGCCGTCCCCAGAGTCCAGGACAATGCCTGGGAAAGGAAGGAAGGTGAGGGAGGAGGCTCCAAGCTGGTTTGGTCCCTTGCTCATGGTGGACAGTCCCCAGGATGCTGCGTGTCCTACTCACCGGTCGTGCGGCCGGAGGCATAGAGGGACAGCACAGCTTGGATGGCGACGTACATGGCAGGGACGTTGAAGGTTTCGAACATGATCTGGGAGGGAGAGGGAGAGAAGCAGCAGGTTAGGGGTGAGCACAGGGTCCCCAGTGCACCCCACTCCAACCCACGGGGGCTGTGCCCTCCTGGAGAGACAAGGTCAATGCATTGGGTGGAAAAACACGTGGATTGTACGGAAAAAAAATGGATAGTTGCATTGCACAGACACTTGGGTCAGTGCATTGCTTGGAAAAACACGTGGATCACTGTGTTGCACTGAAAAACACATGGGTCAGGGCACTGCAGGGCAAACCCCACAGGTTCCAATGCTCCCAGAAAATTGTGGGGCCATGGGAGCAAATGAACTCCCTCCCCCAAGAGCTCTGCAGTGTCAGAGCACCAAGCTGCACCCCACTGCCCATTCCTCCACCCCACTCAACCCCCAAACCCCTCAGCCCTTCCTGTGGTTTCCATCCCCAGGCTCCCACAGCACCTTACCTGGGTCATCTTCTCCCTGTTGGCCTTGGGGTTGAGGGGAGCCTCGGTGAGCAGGGTCGGGTGCTCCTCGGGGGCCACGCGCAGCTCGTTGTAGAAGGAGTGGTGCCAGATCTAAGGCAGGCAAAGGAGAATTGGGATCTTACCCCAAACCAAAGCTGGTCCTGGCACCCATTCCCCATCTCGGGGGCATCTCACCTTCTCCATGTCGTCCCAGTTGGTGATGATGCCATGCTCAATGGGGTACTTGAGCGTGAGGATACCTCTCTTGCTCTGCGCCTCGTCGCCCACGTAGCTGTCCTTCTGCCCCATGCCAACCATGACACCCTAACACCAGTGGAAGAGACAACCTCATTAGCCTCATTTTGGGGATGAAAGCAGGGTGGGGGCTGCCACTCACCCCCCTGGGTACCCACCTGGTGCCTGGGCCGCCCCACGATGGAGGGGAAGACGGCGCGGGGAGCGTCATCGCCGGCAAAACCAGCTTTGCAGAGCCCAGAGCCGTTGTCACAGACCAGGGCAGTGGTCTCCTCCTCGCACATGGTGGGGCTGGGAGTGGTTGGTGTTCAGGGGGACCTGGGGGAAAAGCTGGGGCCAGGGGGAAAAGGGAATTAAAGGATGGGTGTGGGAGAGGGTTATCCTGTGCCACTCCATCTGGCTTTGTAAAGGTTGGAGTCCTTGGGGATGGGCAGCCCTGCCAAATCCTCCGTGGGCTGTGCTGAGGGGTGTGCCCCTGGGGCAGTGATGCTGGGAGCAGGGTGATGCTCCTTCCCCAGAGTGCTGCTCCATGCCAATGCTGCTTCTCCATCCTTCTGCAGCTGGTGCCCGAAACCAGTGCCAAAACCTCCCCATGCCCTCTCATCTGGTTCTGCCCCAGCAGCTTCTGGCTGCTCTGCCCTCACATCCACTCCCAAACGTGAGAAAAACAACAGCCCTTCCAGGGAGTGCCCCCTTGCCCCAGCAGATGCACTCCCAAATCCAGAGGGAACCAGGTAAAAAAGTCTTGCAGGAAGCAAAAAAGCAAAATCCCCTGAAATCCCAGGGAGTTCTGGAAGAGCATGTCCCACTTTGGCTGCAGCCCAACTCCCATCACCTCCACAGAAACCCCTGGCTGGGGGGTCGTGCTGGGGTTGCCACCCCCACTCTGTGCCATGCAAACCAAGTTGGGGCCACCCCACAAATGCTGGGGAGCCTCAAACTCCCTCCCCCACTCCCCCCAGGGTATTTTTCCTTCCCACTCTTCTCCCAGGAAAAGGGAAGCAGGGCTGGGCAGTACTCACCACAGAGGCGAGAGCTCCTTTCCTCTGGGACCGAGTCCCGATGTGCCTTGGGTATAAATACCAGCGAGTCCGCGGAACCTCAGAGGCGGATCCTGTCTAAACAAAGACCCTAAATAGGCTCAGTGATGGTGTGTTGGCCATATGGCCATATAAGGTGTTTTATTTCATTAAATTGACCTTGGGCTGGTGGTAGGACCCAGCTCAGTTAATTATTGTAGCAAAAATGTATGTGGGGATGCTTGGGAGGCAACAGCTCCGTTGTGAGTCTGTTCCTTTTATGCTGCGCTCCGATAAACAAGTGAGACTCAAGTCCTTATAAGTGATGGGCTAGGAAAAAAAAAAGGAGGTGGAAGTCACTCCAGTTCCTGGGGAGAGTGTGGAGAAACCCCACCCGGGTGGAGGTGGGTGTTGGGGCTCTGCCGTGGGGACACCCCGAGCTGGGCTGGGAATTTGGCATCTCTGAGACGCTGGAAACGCACCGGGTTGGCACATCACTCCCTCCCAGCCTCGGTCCCCACCATCCCTGGCACTTCTGAGATGTCTCTCCCCCCTG